TGCCAAACGGTTGTGCCGATTTCAACCAAACCTGGTCAGTATAACCGGTGACGTACACCTCTCATACATGGGGTGTTCACTGCTTGGGGTCAAAGGTCACATAGGGGTCATTAGGGTAAAAAAACTTTCAAAAAAATGAATAAAAGACTTCTTCTGTCACAAGTAACATAGCACAGTATTGTCCTGGGCACATATGTATTGATATAAGGTAGGGTCTCTATGGTGTTCAGAGATTTACGGTCAAAAGTCATTAAAGGGTTATTTTTTGTTCTCTCTAGTAACATTTCAAAATGCTACTAATGGCAAACCATTGGACGAAATTCAATCAAATTTCGTCATTAAGAACCGGCGACACCTCCTACACCCCAGTCTGGGATCAGGGTAACATAGGGGTCATCGGGGTAAATTTTCAAAAAACTCCAATTGAGCTGAACTTTACCAGCAATTATCCTTATGACCTTTTAAACATGAAAAATTACTCTTCACCTATAGGTCAAAAGTTACAATGGTCTCTATAGTGAAAATTATCGAATCATAATGAAAACTTAGTACGGAAGCTTAAAGTGACCTTCCGCGTTTCCGAGTTTCCAAGATAATTATCATGGAAACATGGAATAAATACTTATTAAGACGTCTTTCCGAGATAATTTATCTCGGAAAGACGGATTTCCGATATAATTTATCTTGGGAAGACGGAATTCCAAGATAAATTATCTTGGAAAGACGTCTTTCCAAGATAATTTATCTTGGAATTCCGTCTTTCCAGTATAATTTATCTTGGAAAGACGGAATTCCAAGATAACTTATCTTGGAAAGACGGAAGTCCAAGATAAATTATCTTGGAAAGACGTCTTTCCAAGATATGTTATCTTGGAAAGACGGAATTCCATGATAACATCGAGGAGACGAAATTCAAAATTCAAAGATAGCCTGAAAGCTGTAGTAATTATAAGGAAAGTTGAGCTACCTGTAACTTACCAATGGATAGGCCTATATTCAATTTGTTCAAGTTGAAAGTTGTGAGTGAATATTGTTGTATTTTATTGTGTGTTGTTCTGTATTTTCACGCATTGTTCTGTATGGACGCATCAACATCTGCTTATTAAAACGCATGAAAAATAGGCCTAC